TATGTTTAATTTTAAGTGTTTTGTGTGTATTGGGTGTTCCAGTAAAGCCTTCACCTTTTTGTCTATAGAAAGGCCTGAGAACTGCAGTGAAATAAAACTTTTCTTTCTAATTCTTGGCAGCAAATTTCATTGGGGGGGTTTTTTTCCTTCACTTGGGATGGAGTCTCATCTAACTTGCATGCTGGTTTGGAGAAAAATCTTGTATGGCTAACTTAAATATTTTTTTAAATGGAGAATCTGGCCAAATGCATATGTTAAGGGATATGTCACTGTTGTGCTCATGCTTTTGCGCACTTTCCCTTCATTTGTCTTTGAATTAAAGTTAGGGTAGATGCCTCATGACAGGGGTTTGCCCTATTTGTCTACAAAGTGCTATATAGGCACACTTCAGAGCTATATGAAGTGGTCATGTGTCTGATGCATGAGTCATTGCGAGATCTCACTTAGCTGAGTCATTAGTCCTATTTATCAGTTTGAACCAGAATTTTCAGTTGCCTCACTTTGTACACTTTGAATTTGTTCTGTTGTTTTTTGCCATATTGATACAGCTCCTATTTGAATACATGCTAGAGTTACTTTTTTTCAGGGTAGTTTATTTGTAAACATCTGAACACTTTATGTAAAGTACCTGCAGTGGCATATGATGCAATAAAATGTTGTTTGAATTTTATTTGTGATACATTGGTAAATCCAGTAAGATCCTACTACTGATTATTAAATATTGGGGAGAGAAATGTAAAATTCAATACTGTTGTCTTCCGTGGCATAGTTTTATAAGCCAGCCTCAGTGAACACTCAGATGAACTTTGTTTCTAAGAAATGGACTATGCTCAGTTAGGTTTGCTGCTAAACATTCAGCCACAGAATTTCCAGTGGTTTAATAATCAGCTTCATTTGAGCATAAAAGCTTAAAGAATGTCATAATATCCGCCAGGCAACTCCAGAGTGTATGGTTACTGCAAGCTACTCTGTCAAGGAGATTAGAAGCATGAGGCACACATTTTATTTCATGGTCACTAACCACGCCCCATATAACCTCAGTGCTTAATTAGAATCCCCTTGATTTATCAGTTTTTTTGGGTTCATCAGATTCACATGGAAACCATAAACCCATACAGTCAATAGTCAGAACTTGCTACTTGAACATAATAAACAGCCACAGGGCTTTCTTGTACTTCATTTCCTGAGCAGATGGTACTTGGAATTCTTGTTAATGTTGGAATTAACCAAAAACTTGCTAGGCACAACTCCAAGAAAGTCTTAACTAAACTTCTTTTCACCATTCCATTTAAATTCACTGTACACTAATGCCAGGAGCATGGGGAACAAGCAGGAGGAGCTAGCCCTCCTACTCTCCAGTGGGCATTATGATCTAGTAGGGATTATGGAGTCCTGGTGGGACTCCTCATGTGATTGGAATGTAGCCACAGAGGGCTACACCCTGCACATAAAGAACCAAGTAGGGAAGAAAGGTGGATGCATAGCTCTCCATGAGGGAGCAGTACACCTCCTTGGAGGCCAACATCAGTTCCAAAGAAGAGTGGCTCAAAACCCTGCAAGTCGAACTACAGGGGAGGGCATGGTGAGAGAGACCTAACTGTAGGTGTATACTACAGACCACCAAACCAGGGAGAGGAGCTTGATCTGGAGTTTGCTTGAGAACTGGCAGAGGCCGTGCACACATGTAACATGATCATGATGACTTCAATTACCCAGATATCTCTTGGGAGGAACACTCGGCTAAGTCAGATCAGTCACATTGCTTCCTGATCTGTATCAAAGAGCTCTACATGACCCAGGAAGTGCATGGGCTACTCGGAGGTAACGATCTCGTAGACTTGGACTTAGCCAAAGGAGATGATCTGGTGAGTGACTTCAATATAGAGGGTAGCCTGGGCGGTGACAGTGACCACAAAACCATCATGTTCAGTGTCTCAAGGCAGGTAAATCAGATAGCAGGGTTGAAGTTTTGGACTTCAGAAAAGCGAATTTCAACAGGCTCAGGGCAATAGTAGGGGAAGTGCTGTGGAGCAAGGGACCAAAAATGAAAGGAGTGCATGAAGAGTGGTCATTCCTCAAGGACGCGATCCTTGAAGCACAAAAGAAGTCCTTTCCCCAACATGTGGAGGAAAGGTAGCAGAAGGACTGGGAAGCCCTCTTGACTTAATACGGTTATCACGGTCCTCTTGAAAAAGAAGAAAGAGGCATACAAACAATGGAAGCTTGGGACAGTCCCCAAGGAGTTGGCTGCCATGGTGGAGAAGGGGACTAGGATTCCAGCTAGGATGCTGTCCTTGAACCCTGTTTAGGATTTTCATCCTCAATATCTGGTTCTATCTAGTGAGCGTCTGGTACATTCAAAGCCTCTTCAGCCTTTCTCCCATTTCTGGGAGAAGAAAGCGTTGAAAGCTTTTGAACTGCTGAGAAGGAAGGGTTGTTCCGCACTGCTATCCTCTCCTCCAACTTGCTTAGATGCTGCAAGAAAGGGTGAGGTGAAAGACAGCTCTATAATTAAACCCAGCTTTCAGAGGACTTTTTGAGTCCACTCCACAAAACTATTGTGGCACCACCCTTTGTTTCTGGCCTGTTGCTCTTGGCTTTCCAAAGCTACTGTGTACAGCTCAATATTGAGAATAGCTGTGATGCAACTGCTCAGAGCCCAGTAAGTGTCACTTAACTTCTAGGAAAAGCCATGAGCAGCAGCTGAGGCAGTTTAGTCGGGTGCATGCCTGCTGTATTTACATTCAGTTCACATTTGGAAAGTTATTAGGAGAGCTCAAACTTGTTTTAATTAAAAGCTTTCATTGTGCAGAAATTGATGGTTTAGGCTGTGATAAAATCCTCCTTCACCACTGAGTAAGCAAATGAATTTCTCAAAACCCTAGTCATTAGTGTTGTGGAATATACCCTGAAATGAGTTTAGTTTTGCACCTGTGCCCTTCTCTGCATTCCTCCCACCAGTGGCTTCAGTTTGAACATCCAAAACAACCCCCTTTCAAGTTAAAAATCAAGTAAATACATCTGCAATAAACTCCGACCTACAATCGGTCCCCACAATATTGATCAAGTAATGTTGGAACTGAAATTTATATGACCTCAACAGCTAAGATTAGGAATAGCATAAAACAGGGTTGGAAAGGACCTCAAGGTTCATCTGGCTCAACTCTGCATGAATGCAGGAATTCTACTCCAAAATCATCCCTATCCAGTACTATCCATCCTTCTTGAAAACCTCCAGTGTAGGGGATTCCAGAACTTCCCTGGGGAGGCTGTTAATCTGCCTCACTGTTCCAAATAAGGAAGATCTTACTGACACCTAATCTATAGTATAGCTTCTATAGATGTCACTTGCCAGAACTAGCCATATCCTGGGAAGTCACCATTACAAGCTTTCCAGTGATAGGTAGTATTTTTATTTGTTTATTACAAATCCTGAGGAGCACTGACCATTTTCCTTTATACTGCTGACACACTGCTGTATACAAAAGCTACTTTAGATAATTTTCTGATGTCCTAAAAAACATTGGTATTAGCAGTCTTCTTATTACTGTTAACTAAGGCATCCTGACAGTATGAAAATTAGTACCTGTAGAGTGGTTGAAAGCCTTGACCCTCTCATAAAATCACGAGTTGCCAAAACAGCATCCTGCAGAGAGATGTAAAACAAAGATTCAGACCTAATTGTATGCGACAGGCAGTAAGTTAAATGGAAGATCACCATAAATGTAAAAATAGTTGTTTTGTGCTTAAAATCCTCCGACCATGCACATAACACGTGGAACACACTCAACCAAAAAATAGTAATAGTATTAGGGATGTTGTGGAACAGTTTAGTGGCTTGTTAAAAGACAATTATAACGAGAAGCCTACTCAGTGCTGAGAGGGAAGAATGTGCATGTCCAGCCCTGGCAGAAGATCAGGAAGCAAAAGAAGAGCCAAAAAATGGGGAAAAGAACCCTTTATAGTGATTAAAGAGGAAACTGCTAATTAAGGTCTGTGTTTTCCTTTTATTGTTCTTCCCTCATACTGGAAGTTGCTTGTTACTGGTGGGCTTTATTTATTTCTTTATTAAAAATATTGAGGAGAACCTGGTTCTGATTCCAGATGCTGCCCTGGGAGGAATGGAGGGAGGAAGGGTTACAGTTCTCAGAAAAGGGTCACACAAGTGCTGATAGGATATAGTGTTTTCATTCTTTTCGCTTAACTGTGGCCATAGTCCTCCTATAGCCGTTTCCAGAATAAGGGTCAAATTATGATTAAGACATGCATATTGATCTGTTACCTACTCCTGGCAAGGCTAGTGGAGTGGAAGAGGAGACATGGTGGAAGGAAAGGGATTGAATGGGAGCATGGAGAAGGGAAGTGCAGTGAACTGAGAGGGACATGGAATGAAGGACCTAGAACTGTGCTACCCACCCTTGGGGAAGGGGAGCTGTCTGAGGAAGACGAGGGGAAGAAGCAAGGGGCTGGCAGAACTTGGATTGGGGTGGAGGTGAAGGTTGAGATGAGAATCATGAAAGTGGTGGGTGCTGGAGTTCGTGGGGTTGGGGGAGTTGCAGGGAATTTGAACAGTGGGTTGTAAGACGATGGCCAGCAAAGGCATGGATGCTTACACCTGTTGCATTGTAAAGCTTGACATTTTCTAAATAGATTCTCCCATCTCTGCCAAAAGGAGACTACTCCATAGACCTTAATACTAACCTAATTTTACTTTTTTGTTTATTCCAAACACTGGAAAATTCATTTAAAATATTTTAAAAAGAAAACTTTTCAGGGTTTAGCTCCATAGTAGTATTATAATACTTCTCACTTGACAGGAGGGAAAAACTTGGTAGAAATGTTACAAAGAAAGCAATATGATTTGGGAGCTATGGCTTTTCTGAATCAAATTTTTGCAGTGGAGAAGTCAATTTTTGTTTTACTGAATTGTTCAGGCCCACTGTAATTCCACCTCTTCATTCCTCTGTATGTGGATGCAGCATATCTTTTCTTATCCCTAGGTGTCCCGGAGCTTCGCATCGAAGGGTTGCACTGGAGAGACGGAAGACAAGCAAACCACAGTCAGAAGCTGTGTGTGAAAATGGGCATTGTGTAACAGATTGCCCGGGCACTGTGTCTCCTGATGCAGACCAGACTGGGACAGGAACAGTGCCAGTGGAACAGAACTTTACATCCACTGCTCTTCCTCTGTGGACAGATGAACCTGGCCTTGACAACCCTGCTTATGAAGAGAGTGCCATGACAGACAGTATGTCAAGCTTATCTTTTTTAATTCCCTGTCTAGATCAAGCCTAGAAATTTCCAAATAAGCTTCTCCTGTAAATAAATAATGATTTCCACATCTCCAGTTATGTATGTCCCCTAGTAATTCTTAATTTACTGCGGTGGCATCATGGTGCTATGCCACAAATCTACCAGGCCCTGTAGTTCATGTTAATCACCCTACTAGGAATATTGATGTGGTAGCTGCATTGAGGCAATGCATTTTCTGTAGAATTGCTAAAACTAGTTTCTAAGATGAGATTTTTCTTTTCCCCTCCTGGATCAACAGGCTTCCCACCTATGGAGTATTGTCCTGTTCGAACGAAAAGGCAACTGAGTAACTCCTGCATTCATCTGCATCGAACTAACAGTAACGCCTCTAGCATCTGGGATTTTAGAGAGGAAATGCTCAGCCTTACCACAGAGGAAGGTGGTTCTTCCCCTTCCTTTTCCTGTTGTAGCCTATGCCCCCCACCCCCATTTGTTAGCATCCTCCTTTTTTATATTAGTTGTCTCTGTGTGTTGTGTTTGGAGATGCTTGCTACTACCCTTGACCTGGTAAATTGACAGCGGCTATTAATGTAGTCGTTAATGTAACAGCCAGTTAAGGAAGAAGGCTAAAGACTGTTTCAGTGGCTTGGGACAGGCCCTAGGTGTTGTTTCTATTTTCTCTTATCACTTTATATTGAACTTTTGATATTTGCCAAGGCTAACTGAGAAGAAAATGTTGGGAAAACCAGATAACTATTTTTAAAGGGCAGGTCCCCTAGGGATCAGAATTTCCTCTTTCTTTTAAAGTAATACTTAACTTTCTGATTGGTGTGGACCCTGTTAAATGTCTCAAGGTCTTTTATACTAAGTAGCTATTCCAGAAAACAGTTTAGGCAATCCAATTTTTGTTTGTCGTCTAGTGTTGCCTATATTGTCATGCAAGAATTTGCTGTGTTGAAAATGTATTGAAATACAAAGGTTCATCTTGTTTTGTTTTGTTTTTTTAACCTGGCAGCAACCCAGCCACTACCTAGCTTGCCTGAAGGAGAGATCACTACAATTGAAATTCACCGGTCCAATCCTTATATTGAGCTGGGCATTAGCATAGTGGGTGGCAATGAAACGCCATTGATCAACATTGTTATTCAAGAGGTGTACCGAGATGGGATCATTGCCCGAGATGGAAGGCTCCTTGCTGGAGACCAGATACTTCAAGTATGGAATCTAATTAAATACTTTCTCTACTTGTATGCACTCAGTCATTGCAGAACTGTATGTTAAATGATTTGGGAGATGTTCTTCTGGCAGTCTGTGGTGTGTAAATGTTAGCTTTGCAATGATTAGTTGGAAAAGAAATTATTATTCAGAGCAGGGTCTGTTATTCCAGTACTGATGCCAATGATTTACGTAGTTCATGGAGCCCAGCCTCCTATAATTATTTCTCTCCTATAGCTTTAAAATGAATGAGACAAACTAAGAGTTTTGTTTTCAAATAATGTGGGGTTCTTTCCTTTTTTTTGAGCTTTATGCACACTCCAAAAAAGCAAAGATTATTTTTGGCTAAGAAGTTAGTGTAACAGGGAGCCAGGGGCTCCTCATTACTTTAAGGGAGAAACAGCAGGCGAGAACAGCCCAGGTAGAAGAAAACAGGCCCTTGAACTGGCTGCAAGGGAATAGGCAGCCAGGGCCCACAGGCTATGAGTAAGGTCCTACCTAATTTCACAGAGGCTGGCTCTGTATTTCATGGTCCCAGCGTGTCAATCTCCAAGGAGGGGCAGGATTTCCAGGGCCCCTCGGCCAATCAGAGGCGGGGGGGAATCCGTCTCATTCCACCACAAAAATCTCTCCATTCTCCTTTTCTTTCCCTTCCCACAGTGCTTCAGGATGCCAGGGCTTTCTGCTCTTTTGTTTTTGAAGCATTTGCTCTCTGTCTGTCTGTCTGTCTGTCTGTCTGTCTCTCTCTCTCTCTCTTCTTTTCTTCCTGGTTGCTCCTGACTTGGTGCTTTTTCATGGGGACTGGGATTTTTCATGGGGAACCTACCAAATTTGCAGTTTCTGCAAAAAGTGTAAAATCATTAATCTGGTAGGTCCCTAGCTATGAGTGCCCTAGTATTTATAATTACATAATTGTATTAATAATACAATAGAGGAGAACCCTGTTGGGGTGACAGTGGCACTGCTACAAGTGCTAGATTAGAGGCCAGCCAGCAAGCCCCATTAGAAACACCTGCAGGTGGCTGGGGATGCATGTGACCAGCAGGGACAGTGCTTGGGAGGCGTAGACCCAGGGCTTGAGCCATGGGCAGTCAATCTGGCCCAGCAGGCTGCCAAAGAGGGAGTTCTGCATTGAGAAGACTGACAGTGATTTATTTGGATCTACATGCAATGAAGACTGCAAGTATGGGACTGGCAGCATGCAGGGTGGAGTCTTATACACCCAGCCGGCTTGGTGTTTGTGTTGCAGCCGGTGTGCATACATTTCCATTATAGTTAAAAACCAGTGGATTGGGCTCAGCTAGCAAAGGGGTGATGAGGAGGCTGCGGTGGGACACCTGAGGAGTATACTGCAATTTTAATGTCTGAGAGGCACATGAGGTCTGGAACCCTGCCAAGGGTGGGGCACAGAGCCCAAACAGGCAGTAGCAGGCCTGAGGCCGAGAGGATTGGAGCACAAGCCGGAGATGGGTGGAACCAGGGCCAGGAATCCATAGCCCAAGAAGGCAAGAAGCCAGAGAAAACGAATACCAGGTCCAGGGACTAAAGCCCAGGAAGAGGGGAGAAGCCTGAGAAGGCAAGAGCTAGGGCAGGGGCCCAAAGCCCAAAAAAGTGGAAATCAGACTTCAAGGGTGAGACCAGGGCTGAAACCCAGGAGTCTGGCCTGGAGCACTGGGCGGAGGCAGAAACGGGCCAGCTAGAGAAAGGGGCAGAAGCCAGGAAAGCTACGGCCCTAACAAGGTTGTAGAGGCCTGAAGTGCCCTGCAGTTGACTTGAGGGCAGAGTGCCCCACCTAAGTGTGAATCAGTAACATCTGTGAGACTTGGGCATGGCTTAGTGGGGGTCAGAGACCATGAATAGCCCTTAAGGCAGTCAGCGTGCTGGAAGGTGAGGATGGGCCAGGAGGGCCAGAATTAGTGCCTGAGGACAGAACAGAGGCAGATGGAGTTTGCCAGGTACCAGTAGATTTGAGGAAGGCAAGGGCTCACTCTGTGACCCAGGAACAGCCTTCCTTTTTCCTAAATAAAATATTAACAGCACGGTGTGGCAGGAAAGAGCAAAGAGGGATGGTACCTGGAGAGCCACAGATGGGCAGGATTCATGAGGCCAGTTGGAGGCATCATGGTTGCTCCTGGGACTCAGTCCTGCTACAGTTAGCATCAGTTGCCCTGTGCAGTAGACTTGAGTCATGGGCTTGTCTTTCCCTTGCCTGTTGTGCTTCCCAGTCTGTAATATCATCTTCACTTGCATGTATCCTTGCATGTCTTATTGATTTAAAGCAATAGTGGTTGTTTAAAAACAAAAATGTAGATCTGTCCTTAATTGGCTTGATTTTTGCTGGCACACTTCTGAATATTAGGGTTATTTTTGCTAATGTTGTGACCATTACAACTACTTTGGGGGAGGGGTGGGTTGATAATTTAAAACTGATTATATACATTCAGAAGACTGAAGAACTGGAAGAAAGTATTAGTAGCTCAGACCTCTTTGCTTCCAAAGGATTCATAAAAGAGTTGAAGACTAACATTTTAAGAAGGTAGAGGCCATAGGAACCTGTGTTCTGTAATAAATTCCTCCTCCTCTCCCGCTGTAGACCATTCTCCCTGGTACAAACTTGTTCCATTAGTCATTTCAACTTGACTTTAATAGAATCATTAGTTTATTCATGTTCCAGTAGACTTGATAAACTGACCTTACACTGTACCCACACATTTTAAGGAGATGGCTAGAAAATGTTTGTTATCCTTTAGATAAAACTGACTTGTACTTGAGAAAAATCACATCTGATATCAGCGATACCTACCTTTTCACTCCTTGAATCTTTAGGGGTCTTGACTTTTCAGTGACCCAATAGCTTGCCCAAATCTTCCTATTTTTGCAGGCAGTTGCAGGTATTTATTAGCTGCTCTATCCTGTCACTGATCTTAACATTTAATGAGCGCCCTTTCAATAATTAGTGGCTGTTCTTGGCTGCCTGCGTAGTGGATCTTTCTCTGAAGCTGTTGAAGTTCATTTAATTGCGCAGCTCTCAATTATAGTTCCAAAAAATTGTAAGTAATAATAAAGGGACTTAAAATGAGGGAGAACTTGTAACTAGAGCATGTAAACCCTATCGACCTAGTCCTATGGAGGCTAGGCAGATTCCTGGAGCATGTTCAGGAGAGTCCTTTTGCCACTGTTTGGAAATGGATATTAAAAGCAACTTGTGGGAGACGTTCTCAGCCAGGGTCCCATAGCACCCTGGGGTGCCTTGAAATCCTTTCAAGGGTGCTACAAGGTGCCACACAATGTTAGCACTGTTAAGTGTGCAAACAGTGATCCATAAGAAAAACCCAGAGATTTCAAGTAGAAATCTACAGTGTTAAAACCATTCTGTCCTGTTATGGTCTTTCTAAGTTCTTTGCAACAGAAATATTGCTCTATTATTCTTCCATAGTCAAAAAATGAGTGAAAACTGAAAGTTGGCATTTTCCAAGGGGTGCTTCAAGCCTAACAAGAGGTGCCTTGAGTCTAAAAAAAACGTTGAGAACCACTGATGTAGAAGATGCGGAAGAGATGAGCCAGGGTCCAAGCAGTAGCGTAATAAAGCAGGGTCACTGGGGCAACAGCCCCAGGGGAGCACAAAAATAGCAGCTGCTACCACAGCCACATGACTGTGCAGGGAACACAGCAGTAGCCAGAGGCTGTCGCTGCCTCATGAGTTGCAGCTGCCCTGGGTGCTGAATTGCCTTGTTATGCGTCTGGCTCTATGGAAGATTTTTGAGCTTTTTTGCGTGGATTTGTCCTCTGCAGGTGCTAAGCTAAATCATAGGTTTTACTGGGCTTGGTCTCTGCAGATCAGAATTAAAAATTGAATTGCATTCAGCTGTATTTGTTTCTATTTCGTTTGCATATTTCTGAAGATTTCTTCTGGGAGTCTTTACATAAGCAGATTAGAGAAGCCAGGAAGGACTGTAAAGTGAACCTTAGCTGCTCTTGTTCATCCAAATTGAATTTTTAAAGTTAACTTCCAGCACTTAAACGAAGGGCATCATATTTAATATCCTTGTGCAAAGAGCATGGCAAGTATGTGACTTGACTTGGAATCCTATCTTATAGATTCTAGTCAAACATTTACTTTTTGCCCTTTTTTGCTAATTCTACCATTTTGGTCATAAGATTGGTACAACAAGGAGGTGGTTTTATTTATAGAGACTACAGGATATGACTGTGGCCTTCAGAAATGGGTCTGCCACAGAAAATATTCTTGTTGGATCAATATTCTTGTTGGATCAATGCATATCAAAGTAGAGGTCAGCAGGACTGCAGTTTGTATAGTTTAGAGTAGTGGTCACCAACCCATTGATCCTGATCGACAGGTCAATCTCGGAGCCTCTTTTAGTCGATCCTGGGCGGGGGGCAGCTGGGGGCATGTGTGAATGCACCTCTTTCTACCACCCCACCCCCCACCCGAGCAGGTCAGTCTGTGGGGCAAGGAAGGGGCGGGGGCTAGATTGAGGCCCCCGCAGTGAGTGATTGACCATGTGGCCCAGCCAGGTGCAGGGAAAGGTAAGTGGGGGCCCCAGCCTGGACAAGTGGTGGGAGGATTGGAGCCAAGGGGGCTCCTCCAGAAGTGGCTGCCACTGCGCCATGAGCCCTGCTGCAAGCTGGCCATGTGTGGGCACAGCTTAGCTAAGCAGCAGACACTCACATGGGGGAAGCCCCAGCTCAGCCAGGTCTGGGAAGATCTGGTTGTCCAGGGGTGCATGGTGGGGTGGCTCCTGCCACTGGACTCAGCCCAGGAGAGGCCCTGGGGGTCTATTTCCCTCTCCTACCTGTGCTCCGGCCGCAGCGGGCAGCCCGCTGCAGCTGCCTGCAGAGTATACTGCAGTGGTCCGGACCTGCAGGGAGCGAACTCAAAAAGCCAAGGCCACAACTGAACTCCACCTGGCTACACGAATCAAGGACAATAAAAAGTCCTTCTTTAGATATGTGGGGAATTGAAAGAAAAACAAGGACAA